TTGGATCTTAGGTATAAGCATCCTAAGTGTTATTGCAACGCATTTGCTCTCATTAAGTTGTTGGCCCTACGAATGAAACCGTTGGCAAGCTATTTTGCAATTGTCCGAACAACAAGTGTCGTTTCTTTGCTTGGCTTATACCTACCTCAGTGAATTGGGTGAAGTCAAATGAAGTACATGAACATGATGTTTTCTTTGAAGATGATGGTGATGAGGTTGAGTCAACCGGGGCAAAGGTAACAATTGAAAATGGGGAAATCGCAACAATGTTGAAGGAGATTCAATCAAAGATCGAGAAGTTTGAGAAAATATTTAGCAATGGATTGCTTTGTTTGGTTATTGTTGTTCTTGTGGCTATTATTGTGCTCAAGTAATTAAAGGGTTTAACTAATGTAATCTTTTGTACTATGTAATTTGGTTACTGTTATTCATATGGATTGTTTTGTTTGGTTATTGTTTTTCCTGAATGAAATTTTTACTGTCAATGCTTCTCCACTCACCACATCTATCTACAAATGGTCATTACCATTACTACTATGACTAGCCAAAAAAATATCTGAACACACTATAGAAATCAAACATTACTGCCAAACATACAAAACCAAACATCCAAAACCAAAAAAATAATCCATGGAAATACACAACAATGCAGCCAATAGCATTCAACCAAACATTCAAAACCCAACAATACTGCCAATAGCATTCAAAACAATACTGTCAATAGCATTCCAAACAAAATACACAATAGTGATACCACAACTACATTGTCATAACCATTAACATCACCATAGAAGAAATGAATTGTTTACTGAACAACACACCAAAAAAAAAACAATAGTCCATGGACTGAAAGAGTTCTTGACCAACACTAAATGGAATCACCAATCACTACTTTGTTGAGTGGATGATTGTGGACCAGAGCACTGAATAAAATCTTCAAAGCATGGCATGGATGAAACATATGGCTGAGGTGGCTGAGGCTGAGCTGGCTGAGATGGCTGAGGGTGAGATGGCTGAGGGTGAGATGGCTGAGGCTGAGCTGGCTGAGGCTGAGCTGGCTGAGGCTGAGCTGGCTGAGGCTCCCTTGGCTGCCCAAAAAAAAAAATGAAAATAGTAAAACAACTGAATTCAGAAAATAAGAATAAAAAAAAATTGAAGTACCAACAAAATATAATAAACACTGACCTGTTCACTTATTTTGGTGCACCTTCTCTTATTGTGGTTGTTGAGCCCACATAGACTGCATTTCTTGATAAGGC